ACTTGTGTCATGTGGGTTCTGTCTCCCCTTCTGATTGGCTTGAGGGCCTAGGAGAGCTTACAGGGAGTACAGCTGTTTGAAGGAACAGGCTCCGCAGGGGGTGGGGCAGAGTCTGAGACAGTGCAGAAATTCATATTCCGGTTCTACAGGAATCTAAGAACAAGAACAGATTTGTATTCTTGGAGAAGCACATACTGAAGAAGGAATCCAGAGGAACCAAACGATTATGTACACTATCATATAGCAGATGTCCACGGGAGTGGCTGGGGCAGGCTGGGTGCAGCTTCAGGTGGGGAGTTTTGGTTCTATTCGGAGAGAAGACTCATAGAGACTTTCTTCGTCCATTACAAAAGATTGATCCAGTAAGTACTGAGTTACCTGAAATGAGAGAAAGGAGCAATAGACTTATGGGACGTCCCAGGCGGTGGACACTGGGTGTCTTAAATTTTTTCTTTTGCTTTTTTTTTCTTTTTTAGATAGGGTCTTACTCTATAGCCCAAGGCTGGCCTGGAACTCACTACAGAACCATTTTTCTGTTTTTGTCTGAAAAATGTGGGGATTACAGATGTACAGCACCATGCCTGGTGAAGCCATTTTTTGTAGGTTGAGGACACACGTGTGAGACACAGGTTCTTGGCCTCCTCCATCACCCTCTAAGGCTCTTGTTATGTGATAATGCTAACTCAAACTCAGGATCCTTTGCCTCAGCTTCCCAAGTGCTGGCACCATCATATTTGGCTGTGTTTTGTCTTAATATAACTTTTCTATTTAAATTATGTTTTAAGATTTATTTTGTGTGTGTGTGTTAGAGTTAGAGCTGCTGGGTTATCCACAGTTCTTATAGTCTCTTAATAAACATCTTAGTAGTAATAAACCCCACATGGCAAACATTACTCTTGACTTTCTTTCTTTCTTTCTTTCTTTCTTTCTTTCTTCCTTCCTTCCTTCCTCCTTTCCTCTTTCCTTCCTTCCTCTCTCCCCTCCTCCCTTCCTCCTCCCTTTTCCTTCTTCCCCTCCTTCCCCCTCCCTCCCTTCTTTTCTTTCTTTCAGCTGATCTCTTGAGGAAATGTTTTGGGCTTGATCAAAGCAAATAATTCCCTGAAAAGGCCAATTGTTGAATCTAAGTGGCAGGTGTGGGTGTTCATATTACTTTCAATGTTTCAGTTTCAAGAGTTCTCCAGAAGTGTCAGGTGTACATGCTTACACACAGCAGCACTGCCCGGGGGAAGGGCCAATGTAGGTTTCCCATCGCAGAGTCTGATGCAAAATGTTAGGATGAAAAATTGAGAATGGTCACCCTGAGAAATTTAGTTGTATTTCCTCCTGATTGTCCACTTTACTCTTGATTCTAAGTCTTTGCTGAGTTCTTGCACATTCAACGGGAGATCAGAGCTCTAACCTTACAGGCATCCTCTCGATCCAAAGTTCATGCATTTATCAATTTGGAACCAAGCATGCCTTTCTCCTTTCACAGAAACCAAGAACAAGAAGGAAAAGAAATGACACCCATATTCTGTGCTTGAAAGTCTAGTGATAGCTGCTTAGGGGATATCAAGGCTGTTGCTTTTGTCTTGGGGAACTGACTCTGTCACCATGAAGGTCAGAAGCAGCTGGGTGCTGATTGATAGTAACAGATGAAATTTTTCCTATGTCTGATTGACAGCTCACACCTTGTACCTCTAGGAAGATGACCTCAGATGTCAGAGTCTGGCTTCACCCAGCCCTTTGGGTAAACACAGGGTGACCTATGAGGATGAAATGAACTAAACTTTTAGCCCTAGCCAGATAGGAAAGGGTTCTTTATAGACTATACAAATGCACCCAGCTCCCAAAGCAGACTGACCAGTCCTTTCCCTTGAGCACAAAGTTCAGTTTCCCTGAGCTGGAGACTGGTGACAAATCCATCCTTGCTGGGACACTCAGGAAGTTAGAGGAAAAGTGGTGTTTATATGTACTGAACATCAGAGCTTGAGAGAAGGGTAAAGTAGTGGCAGGAGGCAGAAAAGAGCCCTGAAATTTTGTTGGTAACTTCTGGGACTTTCCAGGGTGCCATGTTACCACCACAGTGCTTTCTAGATACCATGTGTGACACACTAATGAGGCTCCTCCAAACACTAAAAATTTAATGCATAGTTATGTCTTAATATCATTATTATTATCTCTCTCTCTCTCTCTCTCTCTCTCTCTCTCTCTCTCTCTGTGTGTGTGTGTGTGTGTGTGTGTATGAATGTAGGTGTGAGCATGCAGGGGTCGGAGAACAACTTTGGTGTTCATTCTTGCCGTCTTTGGATCTCTTTTTTTTAATGCAGCTCTGGCTGTCCTGGAACCATAGACGATGTTGGCCTTGAATGCAGAGATTCACCTGCCTCTGCATCCTGTGTGCTGAGATTAAAGGTGTGCATCACCATACCCACCAACAACCTCTTTTTTTTTTTTTGAGACAAGTTTCCAGGTAGTCCAGGCTGGCTATGTGGCCAAGAATGACCTGGAACCTCTGATG